TACAACCGTTTCTCAGATGTCAGAAAAATTAAAATGAGGAGGATTCTGAAAGAGACCCAGAAAATTAAAATTGTGTTTGTTCTTAATCCTCACTTGTAGATGGCTTTTCACTTCGTCGTTCGTCAGCCCATCCACTTGCATCAATTCCCTTATCTGTTTCGGCGTCGCCACTACAAATTGAAATGTAATCAATTAAAAAAAAAGTATTTAATCAGATTTACAATAAGGATAAATTGTAAACGTTTGGAAAACCTTGAGATCCGCCGAGTCGGTGCAGCGCGTCGACGAAGCGCCGGTGGAGCTCCGGCGACCAGCATCGTCTTTGTTTCCTTATGGTCTGTTGCTGCTGCGACAGTTTCGTCTGTGCCTTAATTTGCGCTGCCGGCGAAGACAAGCCAGGAACGGCGGCTCTGGCGCCCCTGCCACTGTTCTTGACTGTCAAATTAACAGGGAAGGGATCAGAGATTGGAGTCATTAGAGTAAGTTTTGGGACTTCAGAAAACGCCCCATCTTCCTTCCTTTTCACGAAATTGGATTGATCTTTGAACAATTCGAATTCTCTTCGTCTTTTTGCACAATCCCAATGTTCGATTGGGTTCTGCGGCACAGACCGATCGTCTTCCTCACCATTCTGAAATTACCACCCAATTCCACTAATTTAAATCTAATCCCCAGAAAACCCACAAATCAAAAAGCGGAATAAAATTAAAAAAAAAAAATTCTAAAAAAGTTACCAAGTTGGTATCCGATTTGGGGTTTTGCTTTTCGTCGTCGAAATCAAAGTTGGTATTCCACAACTGAGCGGAACTCAACCACTTCTTCTTCCTCTCGCTTTCCCCGTCGTCGGATTCATCGGAACTTCCTTTCAATGGTATAAACTCTTCAATCACCGGGGGCTGATCCTTCAACTGTAACGTCTCCTCTTTCAATCTCAAAACAGCTGCAAACCCACGAATCGAAACATCAGAAAATCCGAAACCCATGTTGTAAAAATCCCAAAAGAACAACAAAATCAGAGAATTGAGACCCACCATCTTGCAAGAGAAGAACACAGAGAGGAAGCTCCCGTTTGAAGGCGTCGATTTTCTTCATTTCGTCCTCCAATCTGTTGACATAATCGTCGAGCTTGGAGCGCTTGGTGAAGGAATCAGAGATGGACGAAACTTCGAGGAGAATCTCAGGTATGGTTTTGGGTACGAAGTCCAAGGACAAAACTAAACTGAGTTCCATAATTCACTTAATTAGTGTGAGTGTGAATTGTGCGTGTGTTTTTCTCCTCTATCATTTGCTATAGAGAAAACAGAGAATGGGTCAGAGAAACAAAGAGGGGGGGCGTGTATTTATAAACAGCGCAGATTCAGGACGCCAAGATTCGATGGGTTGCGGTGCGAAATCGGGTCGTCGCATCTGGAACAATAACTCGGCGACTCGGACAAATTAAATCGAATCGGCCTGGTCGAGTTGCCGAGTCTGGTGGTGCTGTGCTGGAATCTTAGGATTCCACACATCGTAGTCATGATGCGGCGAATTG